TTAAAAAAGATACGTAAACAATGTCCTTGAAAAGAACAAAAAAAAAAGTAATAACGAAATTATTTTTGGCGATCAAAAAATTCGGTGGTTTAACTCGATAATAAAAATATGTTACCATATTAGAACTTATCGAAATATGTTACCGAAAATATTCAAAGAGATCATCACCACCACCACACAATACACACACACATCGATTGATGTACGAAATAAAAAAAAAGGAACAAAAAAGAAAAACGGAAAAAAATGATATACTTTTAACGGTAACATATAACATAATATATTTACAATATTATGCATAATCACCGCGTATCGAGTTAATTACGGGAAAAAGAAAAATATTGCGATTCAATTAAAACCAGGAGACACACGCGTATTTGTTGAAATATTATCGATTAATAATAATAATAATTACATTTAACATTTATTTTGTTTTATTGTTATAAATCGTGCGATAATATTAATTCGTCGTTTGTAAGATAATATATATATATATATATATATATATATAAGTTTATAATAATTTCGTTCAAATAATAATTAACAATTAATTAATTAATGCAGAACTCACAAGAAAGGACGGATTGATTATTATATTTGTTCAATAATTTCAGTGTAAGAAAAAAAAGAAAAAAAAAAAAACATGAAAAAAAAAGAAAAAAGAAAAAAAAAAACACGATATCGTCACATTGATCGTTCCAACGACCGAACGAATCCTTAATCTCGCGTTATTTTTATTTTCAATATTATTTCGAATAATTTTCTATTCTTTTTTATAAAGATATCATTTATATAATTATATTATTTTTTTTTTTTTTCTGTTTCTATCTTCAATAATAAGAAACGAAAAGCTTCTTCTTCTTCTTCTTCTTATTTTCATTGGTATCGTAAATAATAAAATGAATAAATTACTGGGGTTAAGGATTTGCAAGGAACTCGTGCTTGTTCGAATAAATAAAATTATGTATAAAACATTACGAATTAGCAACGAAAAAAAGAAAAAATGATAAAAANAAAAAAAAAAAAAAAAAAAGCAAACAACAACAAACAAAAAAACCACGTAGAACGATAGGGCACGTAATGCCACGTCTTTTTTTTTTTGTTTAGAACTGTAGTAATATATTTTTCTATGTTTCTTTTTTGCGGTATGCTATAATAACTTTATCTAATCTCCGTTTCCAACCCTACCACCATGTCTACCTTCGATGATCCCCTGTTTTGATTAATTGTAAAACGAGTAACGCAAACAGAAAAAAAAGGCAAAAATTTTCTTTGGTAATTTCCACGAATCGAGATGGGGTTCTCTGTTAATAATTAATTTTTTTTTTTGTTATTATAATTCATCTCAATATATTCCTACTATTTGATCCTTATTCAATATGCGATTATTATGGCAAGCATTTGATCGAGAAGAATAATAAAAAAAGAAAAAAACTAATATATTTATATTTATAAAGAGAACGCACATTGGCCTCTAATGTATTTACAATTATCGTTAAATATTGTAACGCGCCGGTATTATTTCAAAGATAAAGATGATGATGATGATGATGATGATGATGATGATGATGATGATAATAATAATAAAAATAAATCAACAAGTTTTTGTTTCGACAATTAACCATCTGTTCTTTTTTTAATACTAAAGTTCGTAGTACTAAAAGTAAAGTTGTTTTTTTTTCTTTTTTAAATCATACAATTATAAGCCTAACCCTTGTAAAATGATTTCTATTCATACGTTTTTTGTGATGAAATAATAATAATTTATAATTTGAAACGCGAAATTTTATGAATATTCTACCTGTCCTCGGTCTTTGGATAAAAAATCGCATTTTAACAAATCACGTTAATAATATTGTTAAAAAAAAAAATAAATTTTATTATAAATTTGTTAAAGATCAAGGATATAATGAGAGGGATGTGAAACGTTGGAAAGACAATTGGTATAAACTATGATCATTGATGATCATGAATCATGATCGTTCACATTTGTTGTGTTGATGATATTTTTTTTTTTGTTCATGCCATTTCTTTCCACCATACAATATATATATATATATATATATATATATATATATATATATATATATATATATATATATATATATATATATATATATATATATTTATAATTAAAGAAACGTCAAATAATACCGAATAGTCTTTTTGGAAATTCTGCAATTGTTTTTTCTTCTTTTTTGTTTTCCACTAACACACAATTCATATTCAGATATATATTTATACACATCACAATAGTAGTCCAACAATAATAATTATTTACAACAGGTCTCCTGTGATATATAAATTCCAGAACAAATATTTCTTTCCGATAATCTTTTCCATTTTTTTTCCTAATAATTTTCTTTTTTTTTTTTTCACAAAGAAAGAATAAAGAATCTTTCCTCTTTCACACAACGTATACGAGTAATAAGTTTAGTAATTTTCTTTGACCATTGTAAAATTAAAAACAAAGAGAGAGAAAAAAAAAAAAAAAAGGAAACAGAAAGAAGAACAACGTTAACACAAGGATGAGATCGATAATTGCCTTCTCCTATTTTTTTTTCATTTAAAGAAAAAAAAAAAAAAAAAAAAAAAAAAAAAAAAAAAAAAAAGAGAGAAAAAAAAAGCCATTACGTGCACAATTAGCGAAGTATAAAATATAATAACGTAGTTATGTACAATATTATAAGGTTAAACAACTAATTGTACAGGGTCTTTTTTTCTTTTCCAAATAAGCGATAAAGTATTGTAATATTTAAATTCAGGATACAAAAGTAAAGTAAAATACTTCGTTCAAACATATGATATTGGCTCATATTTTCTTCACTTTTTATCCTGAATTTATTATCACAATACTATTCAACTTATTAGGTAACAAATACCCTGTATATATATCCTATTTCCTATATATTTATATATATCCGTACCTCCGAGAAATAGAACACTATATCTATTTTTTACCAATTTGTATTTAACTTTTTGTTTTTTACTTTTAATGTAATTCAAGATCATAACATCAGAAATGTTTTTAAAAGAACACCAAGTCCACTTTTATTCAGATATTTTTAATCTATGGTGGATGGAGATAATAAAAATATTAAATACAATTGTATAAAAGGAATGTACTGATAAAAATATTTTTTTACAAATATTCAATAAACAATTAAAAGAGAAAATGTTCACTAATTACTTTACTCTGTGTAAATTTATGAAAATGTGACATATAGTGTTCTATATTTACGAAGTACCGATATAAAGTCTTACATATCAATAAAAGTTTTTCTTTTTATTATTATTATTATTATTATTGTTATTATTATTATTATAATAATTATTATAATTATTAATTCTTATCTTTGTTTTTCATCTCTTTGCTAGATTTCCTCGCACGTTCTCGCACAAATTCAATTTTATTTTATATATATATATATGTATATATATATATATATATTTTTTTTTCCTATCCTCACAATTATAAAATTTATGACAATGCGTGATTACAACAACACGTAAACGATTTTCTTTTTCCAAAAACTACTACGTTACATCGACTAGTCTCTTCTACTCTCGTTGTCTCAATGGACAAAGACTATCGTCCAAATTATTGGATCATTTTTTTTAATTCTATTTTTTTTTAACAAATATTAATAATATAAATATAACGAAGAAAAAAGAACGTATAACAGAGAGAGGTCATTAAAAAAAGATAATTTATCGCTCAAGAGATGATTGTCTTTCTTTCGTAAAACCAAAAAAAAGGAACCCAAAGGAAATTCAAATAGAAACAAACAAAAAATTAAATAACAAAAAAGAAAATCTTCTTAACACTTTGGTAGCTTTTTTAGGAGTCAAATATTCCACACAATTTCATTTACTTGTCACGATAGCTTTTTTCCTTTTTTTTTTCTTTTTTTTTTTTTCCATAGGATCAACAGTTGTTTGATCTTCATAGATGGATATCACTCACACGTTGAATATTTAATACTTATTTTTCTTTCTTTCTTTTTATATTTGTTTATTTCCTTCCTTCCTTCCTTCCTTCCTTCCTTCCTTTCTTCTTCTTCTTTATCATCTTTATCTCTTCAATGACGAGAACAATATCAGCAATATAATTCAACATGTATGAAAAAGCAACAAAGCCTACGACCAATTATACAAGCCTAAATATTTACAGCGTATTCTCAAGATCACAAAGTACATCAAGAATTTTTCTAATCGTCACAATTTGACCGTTACATTTACAACAATTAGTAAATGCGAAAAGTAGAGTAGGCTTGAAAGGGGACAAATGGTAATGGACAGAAAAGAACCTAAGATTTTCTCAGAGAGCTACGGGGGTGGTTTTACATTGAACACAGACAGTTTGGACGTTTTGTACTATAAGATTCACGAGAATTATTATTATCATTCATTTTTTTTCTTTTTTTTTTCTTCCATAACGGTGCATTGGTCAAGAAACAGGACATGGGGGAGAGCATTTCTTTTTCTTTCTTTTTTTTTTTTTTTCGGGGACGGGGCAAGGAAGAGGAAGGAAACCAGCCTTATAACTCACTTCTCCAAAAGAAAAAAGTAATAAGAACAATAATCAATTCTTCGTTCCACTAATCAAACTATTATAACATTGCACGTTATGCTCTCTTTTATGTTTTTCTTTCTTTCTTTCTTTGTTTTTTTTTTCTTTTTTTTTTTAATGTACTTCGCTATATAAATAATCAAAAAAAAAAAAGAAATTCTCGAACAATAAACAATTAGAATACGTAATAATTTGTAAAAAGGTGTACTTAGTTTTATTGTAGTTAGAAACTATATAACTATGTCGCTCACTTGTCAAATTGATTAACTTTTACGAAACATGAAAAAATAACAAAAAAAAATTAATAATAACATAGTCGTCGTAGTGTTCAAAATAAAGTTAATCGATTTGCGAAGTGAACGACGAGTAGATTTAAAAAAAAAAAAAGAAAAGCAAAAAAGAATAATAAAAGAAAAGGAAAAAGACGTTACTAATTGGTCAGAATGAATTATTCGCAATTGATATCGGTTTAAATATTATTCGGGGAAAATTTCTTATTTATAATGTACAAATGTTTTTCTCTGAAATTCCAAAAGTTCTCTAATGTTTTATTGTACAGAGAAAAAAGGACGGATCGAGCGATCTCGTTTGATGATTATATTAAAAAATCCTGCTAAAATCTAATTTTTATTTATTTTTTTAGTGTTCCCTTTTGAGTTGGCCATTTAGAGAAGACATCGAGATAAATTTATATGTATATGTATATGTATATCTATATATATATATATATAAACATATTCCGAATCGCGACGTAATAATTTCGCTAAGTTTCAATGGCAGTTTGGAAAATAACAATTGTTTTTGATACATCAATACATTGTAAATAAAATAACAAATTTCTCCATTAAAAATATTTTAATTAAAACGCGTATCCATGTGAAACATGCGATTGTTAAATGTTCCGTCATTCAAACTACTATGAATTTATTACTCCAAGATTTAAATAGCGATTCGGATTTGTTTTCATTTTTTTAAAACTTTTTTTTTCTTTTTTTTTTCTTTAAAAGACAGTCCATTGTAAAATACACATAGTAGAAGGATATTAGTAAAAATTAGATTTTATATGTATAACAAAAAAATGTGTAGTAAATCGATATCGTTGTGACGACCGATCCCTTCCCTTTTTCATTGTTTTTTCCTTTCTTTTTCTTTTTTTTTTTTGTTTGCTTAATGGTTTCTTTTTCTTTTTGTTCTTATGCTATATATGTATATATGTACATTTATAATCACATAAAAAGCAGTACTAATATAGTACACAGTTGATAACAATACCAAATATTAAAATTCGATAAGATTAATCGACAAAAACTTTCAATTAAAATTTCAAATAGTACACCTTTTTTTTCTTTTCTTTTTCTTCTTCTTCTCTAGAAATTCGAACATCTATACACACAGTTTGACATTATAAGGATAGATAAAAATTACAATTGTTTTCCTATTAGGGATAACAGAATACAAATGGAATTAAAATATGCTAATCGATAATCAAAATCTTATTCTTATCCTTTATATATAATTGATATTAATTTTGTTTAGAACTTAAAAGAAAAAAAAAAAAAAAAAAAAAAAAAAAATGAAAAAGAAAAGCTTAATCGTCCCAACAAAAAAATTTATGTAAATTCTTCTTTCACTTTTTTCTCTATTATGTATGATCTTAATACGCCACGAAACAGCTTAGATTTACTATCTACAAAGTGTTTATCGTAAAATTTATAAAGTTCCAACACTGCAGAACACTCGATCGTTCGATTCTTTCGAATCTTTTTTCTTCGTCCATTTGTCTCGGACGAACGAACGATCGTTTATTCTTATTATAATTATTAACGATTTTTACAAATCGCAAGCAGTCATTAGAAAATCGATTGAAATAACATCTTCAATTCATACTTTTTTTTTCTTTTTTTTTTTTGCTTTCGGTTGATTTCCTTCTCTGTCTCCGTCTCTTTTTTTTTTTTTTTTTTTTTTTTAGCACCAACATAGTACATTAACTTGATTTTTAACGACAAAAACTTTGTTTCCTTTTCCTTCCTCCTCCTCTTCTTCTTCTTCTTCTTCTACCTCCTTCCTTCCTTCTTTTTCTATAAGTTTTACTTTCTTTTTCTCTTCAAGAAGACAAAAGAATAATAGAATCTCTTCGGTGGTGCAATTCGATGATGCATACATATTGCACGTATGCCAATCTCGTTGATTATTTTTCTTTTCTTTTCATTATGTTTTACTTTTATTCTTTCTTTTTTTGTTTGTTTTATTTTTTGCTAGAATGTGTGTGATCCAGTAAAAATTTTTCAGACTCATAGTTAATTCGGTAATTTGAGAGGGGAGAAGGACCGACACCCTTTTACGTGACGATGATATAATGCCTCGAACATCAAATCCCTCGTAAATTATATTTTCATGATACGTATTTTTAAAAGATACGTATAAAGACATTATTATTTAAACACCAACGTTTTGCTTCGTATTGACTTGTACATTAAGATGTTCTTGTTGCAATGTCTTTAACATTTGCTTTTGCATTTTATGTTCAGCCTGTAATCGATGTAAGACATTTTACCTACATAGAAATAAGTAAATATATGTGTATGTATATACAAATGATTGGTTAGAAACCAGATCGATTATGGTTACCTGTAGCTGAGTTAAATTTTTTCTTTGAGATTGCAAAACTGGATTCTCAAGGTTACGTGCTAATACATCGAATTGGGATTCTTGTATGGTAATACAATTAGCTAGTTGCAGATGAGTCCTCGTTAATTCGTCATTGACCATTTGTTGCTGTTAACAATCATCTAGTTAATTTACGTTCGAATTTTGTATATTTTACAAATCATATTAAAATAAAAAAAAAAAAAAATAACTCACATCATTGACCGATGATAACTGTCGTGAATTAACCTCATCATAGTTTTCTAGAATAAAATTGTAAACAAATGGTCTGGTTAATATACCAATTTAGAAATGGAGATTCGAGAAATAAAAAAATAAGCATTGAAGAATGTTACATACTTTCAAAACCCATTACAGGTCGTAGATTATTAAATATTTTTAGCATAAAATCTGTAAAAATAAAAAAAATGTATAAGCATCATTTATAAATAATCTATTGGCTAATCCAATTCTAACGGTTCTATAAATTTAGCAGCTAAAGATCACCGATAATGAAAGATCAAATTGAAATGAAAAAATAATCGAAAATATATATGCAAAGGAAAACAAAAAAAGAAAAAAACAAAAGGAATTGTTAAAGTGCATCTCGTTCATACAAATTATGCATAAAGAGGCACTTTATTTACTTCGTCATTAATACTGCGGTACCTGGAGTATGTTCCATGATCGTGCTATACTCCTCCTGAATAGTCTTGCGTCCCTGATAAGTCCTGATATGGTTGAGTGCATGAATATCCTCTAATGATATGTCATTAACTCTCTCGTTTAAATCAACCATGTTGGGGATTTCCAATGGCATCGATGAATCTAATAATTTTGGATATTTGATATTACAATCTTGAATGCTTGAATTCGGTGAGTCCATAGATATAATTTGAACGGGTTGAGTATCAGCCTCCTGATCATAAGTATCAAATTCATCTACTCTTGTAAACAGTTCATTGTTAATAAAAGTCCTACAATGAACATATGAAACACTATGTTCTTCTGGTTGTAGTTGTTGTTGCTCTTCTTGTTCTTGTTGCTGCTGCTGTTGTTCGTGTTGAACCTCACAAACGATTTCATATTTTTTCTTATTTTTACGCTTTTTTGAGCGTAATGTAGTATCACCACTACCGACGTTATCTTCGTTATATTTTCTTTTCGACACGTCAGTCTCGGATTCGCCCGTGTCATTTTCTAAAGACTCGAGACTATTATTAGTCTTCTCATTGTTATTTTTCATAACACTAGTTGTTTTAGAAGAGTCACGTTCAAGTAAGGATAAAGGTTTCATGTCTTTATTACGATATTTCTGTTCTAAAGCTTTTGCCCTTCTCATCATTCCTCTCAAAGTTATAGGTTTTTCTGTACACATCTCATTACAAAACAACGGTGTTTTTCTTCTTCCAACTCGTCGCTGTTGTTGTTGTTCATCCGATATGATTTCCTTTTCAACGATAGAATCGGCAATTGTTTTAGTGCTTGTCAACGTTTGATGTTCTTCCTTCATTCCGTTACTAGGTTCTTGTTTTACAACAGGATTATTGTTACTGCATTTGTTGTCATCGTTAAACGTCGGAGTACAGTGATCGATCTTTTTTAAACGAATTTTACTAGTTTGCGTAGCTACCGGTGGTAACCTTTGCGAAAATATAGCTGCTTTAGCAAATTGTGAGTTAGAAATTGGTTTTGGTGATAGACGATCTTCCGAAATAGTTGGCGAAGGTAAATCGCTGATTAGATGAGTAATTGCGTCTTCTAATTGGGAAGCATCTTCCAGGCTTGCATCCGAGTTAGATTTTTTAGAATCCAGTCCCCGCTTCATATATATATATATAAAAAAAGAAAATACAATAAACATCTTCAAAATATCGAATATGATCATCATCATCATCATCATCATTATTATCACTGTACACATTTTTTGTTATTTTATATTTTCATTAATTTACAACAATTCGACGTACCAGATTGAAAGAAATATCTTCAGTATTTTGGATCATAGCAGCAGCCTTTGTGAAACCGGATACAGTAGCTGAAAATCTTTCTTTCATTTCTCTAACAAATTCAATACCTTCTTCTTCACTGTAAAAATCCAATTGGAAAAGATTCATGATTTATATCTAATTTTATCTTCTTTTGTTTTTCTTTTTAAACAAAATAAAAAATACTTACGAGACTAAAGTATTTATACAGACAAACGATTCCACGGATTGGGTATCTTTGTCGTATTCTAAATAACCGTGAGTTCTCAGATAAATGAATTGGCCAGTTTTGGAAAGTAACCTGTAGCAGGACGAGCCACAAGGTTCAGCACGATCGTACACTGTTACACAAAAGAGATATTAATTAATTAATTTAAACAATTATGAGACTAGATCATATATATAATATTTACATTATATTAGATTATATTATATTATATTATATATCACATATATACTTTGGCGTAGTCCAATGATGGTCCACCTAACATCGTCCTTGTGCATATATTTAAATGCACTCATACCGGAAACTTCTTCTGACATATAACCTGCCACGATGGATATCCTGTGATCGCAATAAATGATACGACCATCAACCAAATGCCTTGTTACATATTCTTCTTTATTAGCATCCGTTATAGAAAGTTCAGTAATAGGACGTTTTTTGGGGAACCATGCAACACCAACGAAGATGATATCGTTGTTGGTAGACGTTCCTGAAGAAAAAACAACAAAAATCTATTAAAAAACATATATTATTATTTTTTTTGTTTTATTAATTAATGAAAATATGAACGATTTGGAAATAACCCTTAAACAATTTAGAAATCTTTGATAGATCTTGGTATAAGAGATGAAGAAAAATAATAAAAAAAAAGTAAAAAAAAAGTAAAAAAAAAAAACAAAAAAATATATAATAATAATAATAATAATAATAATAATAATAATAATAATAATAATAATAATAATACAAATTTGTTTAAAATAATTTCCGTTCGTATTATTGTTCTTTGACAAAATATATACGGAGATGAATTAAAAAAAAAAAACAAAAAAATATATAATAATAATAATAATAATAATAATAATAATAATAATAATAATAATAATAATAATAAAAAAAGTTTTTCGCGACGATGCCTACGTTTTTTGCGAGCCAACACGATGCCGTGAATCTAAATTTAAATACTCAGGGGGGGCTAAGAGTAAATATTTGCGATACACACGGCTCGGAAAGTTAGCTTAGGTTTCTTCGTAGAGTCTTGTGTGTTACGTGCAGAGTACCCACCAGCAGTTAGCCACCCAACAATCTCTCAACGATAAAAACGGGAGACCTTTGATTCGTAAAACAAAAAAACAAAAAAAAGAAGAAGAAAATATTACTTTTAATGATTATATTCAACCCTTTGACTGGTTAGTTAATGTTAGTTTGCGTATTGATTATTGTTTCGAATTATTTTTTCTCGTCACCGTGTAAAAATTATATA